CCCCTCCTTTATCTCTTTGACACACACACACACACACACACACACCCATTTTCTCACCATGATTTTCATTCATGTTACTTCTCACTCTTTGTAGCTACATAATAAGTTAACTGTGTTACTATTTGATTATCAAACTCCTGAACAGAGACATATCTCTGTTGTTAACTATTGGTGTCCCAGCACTAAACATATACCTTATTCCTAAGAAATATTTGTTCAATTGAATTGCAAAAATGTATGTGGGCTTTCTAGAAGGCTGAAGACCAGGAGGTAGAGATGTGGTTAAGGGACCCTAGTACAGACTCCAAATTTTTTCCTCCAGATAAAAATGTGACCTTGCTGATTCCAAGTTTGGTTCAAGATTCAAGAGTGCCTAAAGTTTGCCAACATTTCCTTTAATGGAAGTGTTTGATCATGAGTCTCCCAGAATGATACAAGCTCTGATTAGATAAGATGGTGCCACAGAAAAATTGGGGATTTTCTTGGATCATGCAAGGGTCACTGCAGGTGAAGAGAGGTAAGAACATTTGAGGAAATAAAACTGAGTTTGTGTGATTATGTATAGGGGTTGAGAGTGCTAAGCCTAAGATGACTCTGTTATTAATAGGTTTTTCTCATCTAATCTTCATAATTCCTTAATGTAGATAATGTTATTCTCATTGTATAGTTTATGTTATGTGTACTGTATCCCTAGCAGCCTTGCTTTCTGTTGAACCAGTAGCTAGGGAAGGCCCCTCTGAGGTCTCTCCTTCTGCTCTGTGTGCCCGATTCACTTATTTAAAAATATGTTTTTTATTGACTTTAGAGAGAGAAGATGGGGGAGAGAGAGAGAGAGAGAGAGAGAGAGAGATAGAGAGAGAGAGAGAGAGCAACATTGATGTGAGAAACATTGATCCGTTGCCTCCCGCATGCCCCTACTGAGGATTGAGCCCACAACCTGGGCATGTGCCCTGACTGGAAATCCAACAGGTGACCTACTCATGCATGGGACAGCACTCAACCAGCTGAGCCACACTTACCAGGGCCCAATTCACTTCTGAGAAGTTTATGTTCTCTTAGCCAATTAGATAAAAACTTAATTCAACCTATAGGGTATATTTGAGGTGACTGGGGAGAAGAGTGTGATAGTTTTCTCTATTCTGTAACTGCTATAAAGTACAAAAGAATAAAAAAAAAAACCCTGTTACTTGAGATAGAGAAATGCTTGCTAAAATATGCAAATCACAAAAGTGTTTTTCATTTTCCTGGTACATAGAGCTGTGAGGTATTAGGTGGCTTTGAATGTTGACATTTCCTTTATCTTCTAGTGACACATTAAAATTTAATGTCACCATGCCCCAAATTATTGCTAAGTGGTCTTGGTTGTGTGCTTACAATGGAGTGAACTGAAATCAGAAGATTAATCTCTTAAGAGATTAATTTTTATGGGCTCCATGATTCCTATAATGAATTCTTATGGGCTCTATGATTCCTATAATGTTCATTCTAAGTTTCTTAATTTTCTTGAAAGTCTTTAAGCATGAATGTGTAGCCTTGCTTAAAGCAATAGCACACAAGGTTAAGAATATGACCATTATTTTCCAAGAAAACTAGATCCAGCAATAGTTGAATGATAGTCATCTGTGACCATGTGTGATAAATCCAAGTACTAAGGCTGGAGTAAAGTAAAACTTTCCTTCATGTGCCCACAACCAAGGTACATGCCCTTGACCGGAATCGAACCTGGGACCTTTCAGTCCGCAGGCTGATGCTCTATCCACTGAGCCGAAACAGAAGTTTTTTGGTCATATCATTTCTGTATGCACATGACATTTTTGAAATAATCATCTCAGTTGATCATTTAAGGCTGTGGATCTGTGAAAAAAATTGGTCTGAAAGAATATATTTATATGTTTATAAATTCCCAAACCATTGTCATATACGGAGTTGATTTACGTCCTGTCAAGATATCATGCATATATGGTGACACAATCTGAAACTAAATCTTCATTGGGCCAGTACTGCTGATCATGTTCCTTGAGCTATGTACGTATGGCTAAAGATACAAGTGGCACCAGTATAGTTTTCACTTAGTCATCTAGGGCGTCCTTATACAGTATATTGTATGAAAGTCATAAATATTCAGGGTGTGAGTCTCCTCATGATCCTTCATGAGGAACCATATTGAAGATGGTAGAAAGAAATATGTGGTGGAGAAATGATAGACATTTCCTTTTTTAAAAAAGGATTCATTCGAAGGAAGACAAAATTGGCTTAATCCTTAAGTTGTTTTTTTTTTTCCTCACTAAGAGAGGGGTTTGCAAGGTTTTAAATGCATTCATGGAAAGCCACTGTTATCTTTTAAATTATAAAAAAGATAATAGGCTGATATAGAAAGTTGAAAATAATTATGTGAGACAAAAAAGAAGGAAAACAAATTAATAAGATAATCACTTGTGGTTCTGAAGAGGTTTATTTAACTACTGATAAAAAGGGCTTTTGTTATATTAAATAACCCTTTTCTCATGGGTCCACCTAGACCAGTGATGGCGAACCTTTGGAGCTCACCGTGTCAGCATTTTGAAAAACCCTAACTTAACTCTGGTGCCGTGTCACATATAGAAATTTTTTGATATTGGCAACCATGGTAAAACACAGATGTATATTTTTGATAGGTATTTTATATATTTAAATGCCATTTAACACAGAAAAATCAACCAAAAATATGAGGTTCGCCATCACTGACCTAGACTAGTCCTGAATGAGTCACAAAAAAAGAAGTGAACTTTTATGTAGTGCTTTCTATAGAATACTAAATTGCTTTATCATGAAAAAAAAGGTACTTTAAAACTCACAGGGTTACCTTTTGAATTTTTACCCTATTTTACTGAATTTGTAGAATGTCCAGGCTTTGACTACCTGGGAACTAGAATTGGTTGTGATCATCTGTCAGCCCAATTGTGCTGAATATGCTAAGCAAGGTAGAAAAATATGAGATGTGCCCCGCCCCCCCTTTTAAGAAGTTCACAACCTGATTATGAGAGATTTTGCCTGATCTTTGCATGTACATGCTCTTGAGCTCGCCTTTAAATAGAGACTAACTATTTAGTTAGGTTTTACTAGGGAAGAAACATTTCTTATACATTTATATATTCTAAAACTCCTAAAAATCAAGAAATTATAGAATGGTATTACCCTTTGAAGTCACAATTTGAGCAACCATTCCTTTGAAACATTATGAAGGAAAATTTAACAGCATTTTTTTTGTAAAGGAAATGAACAAGTTATTTAGGATATTAATATATTTTTACATGAGAAATTTTTAATATTTTATGCCAATCCCTTCTGGCCTGCAAAGTTTCTGTTGAGAAATCAGTTGAAAGTTTTATGGCAGCACCTTTGTGTGTAACTTAACTGCTTTTCTCTTGCTGCTTTTAATATTCTCCCTTTATCTATAACCTTTGGCATTTTAGTTCTGATATATCTTGGTGAGAGCCTCTTTGGGTTCATCTTGTTTGGTACTCTGCTTCCTGGACTTGTATGTCTGTTTCCTTCATCAGATTAGGGAAGGTTTCAGTCATTATTCTTCAATTAGAGTTTCAATCCTTTTCTCTCTTCTCCCTCTAGTACCGCTATGATGATAATGTTGGTACACTTGCTATTGTCTCAGAAGTTCCTTAAAATCCTTAAAATATCCTCTTTTTAAAAATTCCTTTTTATTTTTGCTGTTCTGATTGGGTGTGTTCTGCTACTTTGTTTTCCAGATCACTTATTTGATCTTCTGCTTATCTAATCTGTTATTACTTTCCTCGAATATGTTCTTAATTTCTGAATGACCCTTTTTATGTTTTCTATCTCCATTTTTATGTTTCTATCTCTTTGTTGAAGTTCTCATTGAGTTCATCTATTCTTTCCTTAAGTTTACTATAACCAGTGTTTTGAACTCAGTATTTGGTAGATTGCTCATCTTCATTCCTTTAGTTCTTTTTTTAAACTTTT